CCTGGCAGTAAAGCCGGGCAAGGAAAGAGGACGGCAGCACGGGTCAGGCCCCAGCTCAGCTGGGCCTCGAGCCCAGACTGGGAGGGAACATAGAGGAGAACAAAAGAACGGCAGGGGGGGGGAGCAGAGCCCCCGCAAAGGGCACAGGGGCTGCCACTGGCTGAGCCCTCCCCACTCAGGGATCCCAGCAACGACAGCCGTCTCTGGGCCCTCCCCTCCTGAACGCCGCAGAGGGGCCCTGCTGGCCAGCCCTCCTCAGCACGGACCCCCCACTCCCTGCTCAGCCAGCGGGCAGCAGGCAAGGGGCAGGAGTCGATCCCTAGGCCAGGGGTGGACGGTCACGAGAGCAGCCCCGTGGGCAGAGCAGGGTGGCGCAGCTGGGTAGATGTGCTCAGGGCGGGCGGCGCCGCGCCCTCATTCCGCCCGGGCGGGGGGCTCAGAGGGGGCAGATGCAGGCTGGGATCTACCTTGTTGGCTGGGGCGGGCTGGCAGTCCTCCAGCCTGACGCCGAAGGCCCGCGGAGCGGATTTCTTGTTCTTTTTCATGATGTTGATGCCCCAAGGGGCTTTCTGGGGGGCACCGTCATCTAGAACCAAACTCCGGGTCAGTGTCCGAAGAGTGAGACCCTGGGGGAATAAAGACCCCCAACCACCCCCACGCCACAGGCAGGTGCACACGCCCCCCCACCCCAGCCTTTCAGCCGCCAACACAACCTCACACGCACACCCACCACCCGTGCTGATCTGGGCTCTTCCAGACAGGTTCTCGCCCCGCAGGAGCCGAGCGCCGGCCGGCCGTGCACTGAGCAGACGTCTGCACGTGTGGTGTGCGCTCCCCGAGGGAGGCGTGTGTGTAGCGGAGCGTTGTTTCTGGAGGGCGTTTGGGGGGCGGGGGTAATACAATTCGGCCCATTGCTCTGGGTCTAGGTTGGAGGAGGCCGGTCCCAGCAAGGCGCGAGCAGTGGGAGCTGAAAGCGGTGAGGTTTACGACCGTCCTTCGCTCCCGGGGAGCTCTTTGCACCAGCCCCGAGAAAGCGCCGTCTGCCCTGCAGCCCGCTGGTCCCTGCAGCGCGTTGCGCCTGGCCCGAGGAGCAGAGATCTTCGGCCTGGAGCTTCAGACCATCGTGTCGCTCCCCTGGGCCCGGCCATTGGGCACCGGGGAAGCCTTTGGCCGGAGTGCAGGACAAGTGAGATGTGCTCAAGGTAGCCTGCAGTGCCGAGGAGACGCGCTGCGGCGTTCTGTGCCGGCGGGCAGCGTTCCCAGGTGCCGACTGCTTCCCGCCCACGTCTATGGCACTGCTGTGACCCAGCCGCAAGGCGACGAAGGCAGGGGAAACTGAGGCCAGAGCTTCGTCCGCCACGGTGGGCGGAGGTTCCTAGCCAAGCGGAGACAGCAGAACGCGTCGCTCGCGGGTGCTGTTATGAGGAATCCGGGAGCGCACCTGGACGACGGACCCGTCGCCGGTGCGTAGCTTCAACCCACGGAGACGACCGTGTCCGCGAGCTCTTCCAAGCACGGCCCCCTGCCCAGCAGCATCACCTCCTCTTGCTGGGCCCAGCTCCCCCGGGTGGTTCTTCGGCCCACTACGGGCAGCAGGCTGGCCAGACGAGCCGGAGGAGAAGCCACATCGTGGATCAGCTGCAAATTGCTGGCGCTTGAGTCCGGGTTGTCTGACCTGGTCCCCTAACTGCTGCACGTAGATGTTGATCCACAATCTCACGCACCTCACACGTCCTCATCGACCCACAGGGCCCAGACCCCCAATGCAGACACCGCCCCGGGTGTACGCCCAATGCACCGCGAACACGCACAGCCCCGGGCAGCCACGCACGCTGGGTGTACCTTTAGTCACGGCCATGTCCTGCCTTGGGGAGCGGGGGGCGCTCGTCCCTGTCTGCTTCAGGAGCTCGGCCTTGATCCCCAGCCCGCGCGAGCCCTTGGGGGAAGAGTCTGGTTTCGTTCCAGAGGGGCTGCAGAGAGAGCAGATGGGGGGCTCAGCCTCTCCTCTTGGCCCCCGGCCTCCTAGCCTCTCACCCCCACCCTCGCACCGAGCACACCCTGGATCACAGCCACCCCTGCACAGAGGGGCAGGCTTTGGTGGCAAAACTGCAGTGCAAGGCATCCTGGGGAGTAGCTATGCAAATTAACTCCGCCATTTACCCATAGTGCTTTACACTGCAGTGGGCTCCCCCTTCCTGGGCACACCCAGTGCAACAAGGACAAGACCCCTCTGCTGCCCAAATGTTACAGGGGCATCCCAGGGCACCTCCTCCAGCCCTCGCAATGCAGGTTCTCCCGGTTCCTGGCTTGGCCCTCTCTGCCCCACTCACACTCAGTTTAGAGATCCCCAGCTAACGGCAGTACGCCCCCCTCCCTAGCAGGCTCCTCAGCTCTTCCTGGTCCCTAATGAAAAGTGCCACCAGTTGAACCCAACTCAGGTTCAAGTCCATCTAGCTGCACCAGTGTAAACCCCTGGCCAAGGTGCACTCAGACCGGATTCACCCGGTGCTTAATACGGGTTTGGTTGAATTCGGTAATTTCCTGACACGAAACCGGCTGAAGTGCTGCTCCGGGAGGGACAGCAGCCAGTTAACTAGATCACTCGGTGCAAATTCACTTCTCGCTCAGGCACTTACACGCTGCACCTTTCCACTGAGGGCCCAAAGTGTTTTAAGGAGGCAGGTCAGTATCATGAACCTCATTTTACAGGCACAGAGTGTTCAGTGACTTGCCCCAGAGAACCCAGGAGTCCTGTCTCTCTAACCACACATAATCCTCTGGATATTCGCCCCCAATGCAGCCACTCCCCCCCGGAAGGTTTGCTTGCTAGCTGTCTGTCCATGGTACTTCTCTGGCACCCATCTCCCAGGCAATCAGCCCCTTGGACCGAGAGGCTAAGTGACTCGCCCAAGGCCACACAGGGCGTCTGTGGCAGAGCAGGGAACTGAACCTAGGTCTTCCACATCGCATGCTAGCGCGCTAACCACCAGGGAAGGCTCCACCCCAGCAGGTCGGCAGCCGGCGCGCAGAGCCCTTACCTCACTTTCCGGTAGTCATTTAGCTTCTTGTTGATAAGCGCTTGGCTTGCAAACCCAGGGTCCTGCAGCGGCACAAAGACAAGAGGGAGGGGAGAGCATAAGCGTCATGTCTGGCACCAGAGCCCAAGCGAGCGCCGTCTCTTCCTTCAGCCGAGCCCCTTCCCAGAGAGGCCGCTGGGGCGAGGGGTTCGTGTGGGGGGCTGGGGGCTCACTGGCCCTAGCAGGGACAGGCTGGAGAATTTTGCTTCTGATTATCCTTCTGATGGGCACAGCCAGGCAGGCAGGACCCAAAGCACCAGGACCGAGTCCCGGAATACAGGCCCTGTCTGGGAGCGCTGTACCGGGCACAGGCAGAGAGATCCCCCTCGGTACCGAAACCTCAGCCCAAGGGGCACGACCAACCCTCCGGGGCCAGGCACACACTCCCACCCTGCAGTGCCTGGGATGCCCAGCGTAGCAATCCCCTGCACGTGGCACTTTGCTCTCTTCCCTGGCTTGGGAAGGCTCCAGGGGTTCCCAGAGATCAGGCTCCCTAAAGGCGGCTGGTTAGACAGTGGGGCTGATAAAGCTGCGCCCCACGTAATTCTGGGGAAACCAGCATCATTCCCTGGGGGGCATCAGGACCCTCCCCATCACTCTCCTAGGGCTAGCTCCTGGCTCTCTGGGGTCACACAGCTCGGCCAGAGCACGGGAGCCGCCTCTCACCACTCCCCATCCTACTGCCTAGAGATCCCCAGCTTCATCACAGCCTCCCCACTGACCCCGCATGGGGGGCTGGGCTGTGGGGCAGGCCTCTGAACCCCAGGAGCTCCACCACTGCTATGCCCTGCCAGTGAGAATACAGAGCTGGCCGACGGCGGGGGAGAGGAGAACTACTACATGTTCCACGCTCGGCAGGATCTTCCAGGAATCCTAAGGAAATTCAGCCCCCGCAGGGCAGCCTAAGCTGGCATGGATCTTAGGGCAACTCCCACCCCTCTAGTGCTCTGAGCTGGGCACGGATCTTAGGGCAATCCCACCCCTTTAGGGGCCTGAGCTGGGCATGGATCTAGGGCAGCTCACACCCCAGATCTTAGGGCAGCTCCCATCCCTGTAGTGCCCTGAGCTGGGCATGGATCTTAGGGCAGCTCCCACACCTGTAGTGC